ATAGGCACAATATGTTCACAGTTATTCTCGGACTTGTACAGATCGGTGAAAAACTTGGGTCACCGGGTGCACCGTTTCCTAGCTGAGGTTGAACAAGGTGAGGCTCTGACTTCTCGTTTCAGCTCTCATACTATAAACAAGGGTCCCTTTTGTGGTCTATTTAGAGCCATGTTTTTCACAGTTTTGTGCTTTTCGTTGGTGATTTTGTTGTATGTAATGGCCTCCATGTGTAGTGCTGAAGAGATTGCTATGTGCCTTGCAGAGAAGATATGTGTGTTGGATAAGCTTCATTCAGGCTGATTTATAGGACTGCTGGCCATTAACAAATTAATGGTATATATTAAATAAGGTGTCTTTAAATAGAAACATACATAGGGGTGCCCGTGTCGCTCAGTCAGTTGAGGTCAGTCAGTTGGGATTCTCTTTTTCTCTCCTTCTCTCTGACCCTCTCCCCCTCACACTTTCTCTCTTTCAAAGTAAATAAACTTAAAAAAAAAAAAAAAAAACAGAACCACACATCAAACAAGGCTGAGTATTGATTAGTTCTCAAAAATGTCTTGTTCAAAGACTCCCCAGAAACGAAACCTGCATTTCCACTGGGAGCAATGGGTCAGTATCCACTAACTCTGTGTTCACAGCAACTTGATAGAACATAGCTACCATGAGTAATGATAGATTATTGGTAAAATCTAGCTGGTAACCCATTTGGCATGGAATGATGGAGAATGTAATTCCCAAGCCTCCGGTCACGACCATACTTGGGAGAGCCTAGAAGGGGGAATAGTGTTGCTGACCGACGACCCAAGGCAGTGTGTTAAACCATTTAATGCTTAAAACAATTTTTTTAACAGTTGCCTCAGGGTTTACAGTAATTAATTGGTGTCTACCTTCAAATAACATTATACCACATGTAAATATTTTATTCAGAGCATACTCCCCATTCCTCCGTCCCAGCATACATTTTATTTTTATATATGCTATAAACACCCAATGCATTGTCATTGTCAGCATAGCAGACTGACTCTAGGCAGTCAGTTATCTTTTAGAGAACCTCTCAAATTAAATGAATTATTATTTACCTTTATTGGTTCTAATTCTAGCCATCTTCATTTATTTGTGTAGATCTAAGTGTCTGCCTGATACCATATTCCTTCGGCCTATAACATTTCTTATGGTGCATTTCTTCTGGCAATGGATTCTCTCATTTTTTCCTTTGAGAAAGGATTTCTGCGTATGCATGTGTGTGTGTTTAATTATTTTTTAAAATTTATTTCAATTCAATGTATGTGTATATTTAAGTGACAGTATATTATTTGCATTGCTTTTACTACCAGCTTTATCGAGGTCTACTTGATAAGTAAATAGTAAGATGGGGCACCTGGGTGGCTCAGTCGGTTAAGCGTCTGACTCTTGATCTCAGCTCAGGTCTTAATCTCATGGTTGTGAGTTCCAGCCCCAGGCTGGGCTCTGCACTGGGCATGAAGCCTACTTAAAAATAAAAAAAGAAAGAAAATAGGTGAGATAAAGTGTACGACATGATGAGGGGCACCTGGGTGGCTCAGTCAATTAAGCGACTGATTCTTGATTTTGGCTCAGGTCATGATCTCATGGTTCATGAGTTCGAGTCCCGAATCGGGCTCAGGGATGACAGCATGGAGCCTTCTTGTGATTCTCTCTCCTTCTCTCTCTGCCCCTCCACTGCTCACTCTCAAAAATAAATAAGTAAACATTTAAAAGTGTACAACATGATGAATTGAATATAGGTATACATTGTGAAAGGATTCCTCCTATCAAGTTTATTAACAATTCATCACCTCACATATTCACATTTATTACATTTCTTTAAAAATTTTTTTAATGTTTTATTTACTTTTAAGAGAGAGAGAGATACACACACAGAGTGTGAGCAGGGGAGGGGCAGAGAGAGACACACACACAGAATCCGAAGCAGGTTCCAGGCTCTGAGCTGCCAGCACAGAGCCTGACACGGGGCTCGAGGTCACGTGCTGTGAGATTGTGACCTGAGCAGAAGTCGGCCGCCCAACCAACTGAGCCACCCAGGTGCTCCATGGCACCCCTCTTTTAAAATATTTTTTTGTTGGGTATAGAATTTGGGGCAAACATGTTCTTTTTTGGTCTTAAACCACATTAAGGATGGCATTTTGTCTTTTGCCTTGCATGATTTCTGATGAAAAGTCAGCCATAATTCCTATCTTTGTTCTATTGTACATCATGTGTCTTTTTTGTCCAGCTGCCTTTATAATTTTCTCTTTGTCTTAGGTTTCCAGCAGCTTAAATATACTATGCCTAATGGTTTTTTATTTGTGTTTTAATCTTGCTTAGTTTTTTTCTGAACCTTTCGGACCTGTGGTTTGGTTTCTGTCATTAATTTTGGAAAGTTCTCAGCCATATTTCTTCAAATATTTCTTCTGCCACACTTTCTCACCTCTCCTGGTGGTCCTATTGCATATATGTTAGACTGATATTGTCCCATGGCTCTTTGGTGTTCTGTTCTGGTTTTCTCTCTGCTCTTGCTTTCTCTTAGTGTTTGGGTAATTTCCACTGATCTATCTTCAAAATTGCTGACTCTTTCTTCAGCTGTGTCAAATCTCCTGACGAGCCATCAGAGGCACATTAGTGTTCTTCTTTCTGATTTTTTAAAAGTGTGTTCATTGATTCTCAAGAAAAAGAGAATGAGTGCACACATGCACACATGTGCATGAGCCAGAGAGGGGCAGAGAGAGGGGGAGAGAGAGAATCCCAAGCAGGCTCCATGCTGTCAGAATGGGGATGGACACAGGGCACAGTCTCACAAACTGTGAGATCATGTCCTAGGCCAAAATCAAGAGTTGGACACTTGGGGTGCCTGGGTGGCTCAGTCGATTAAGCGTCTGACTTTGGTTAAAGTCATGGTCCCGCGATACAGAAGTTAGAGGTCCACATCTGGCTGGCTGCTGTCAACATGGAGCCTGCTTTGGATCCTCTGCACCTCACTTGCTTGTGCACTCTCTCTTTGAAAAATAATAAACATTAAAAAAAAAAAAGTCAGACACGTACCAGACTCAGCTGCCAGGGCGCCCCAGTGTTTTCCGTTTGTAGTGTGTCCATTGGATTCGTTCCTATAATGATCTTCCCTCTGATGAAAGTACCCCATCTGATTTTGCATGTTGTCCACGATTTCCCTTAGGGCCAGTATCTAGTGGCATCTGCCCCAGGCAAACAAGGGCTCGCTCTTCTCTCACCTAGGAAGCACCTGTCTGTCCTTAGAGTTCATGACACTTGGTTGCCCTGGGACCTGAGCCCGCCGAGGAGTCCACAGAAAGTGCTGATTTTCAGATGATTCAGCATTTGGTTATCGTCCCATGGGTATCCTTTCCAGCATGTGACATCCCAAATAGGCTACTATTTTTTAAGAGAATGGCTTTTTTAGAAAAAGTATAAGAATCAATGTGTTTAATTCTTGATTTCTTTCAAATTCTGAAATGAGCATCTATAACCAAAGCAAGGCACTAGTTGGTACTGGGTAGAATTCCAGATGAAACTCTCAGTCTCCTTACCACTCACTAGCTTAGAAGCCACGGTAAGTAGAGTAAGAAATTGATCAAACTTAATACATTGCCTCCTGTTGTCATGTGATTGGTGCCCTCCCAAAGCTCATAGGTGGAAACCCTAACCCCAATGTGCCTGTATTCGGAGATGGGCCTTTAAGGAGGTAATTCAATTTAAATGAGGCAAGAATGGACACTTAACCCGATCTGACTGGGGTTCATAAAAGACGACAAGACACAAAGGAGGGCTGAGCACAGACGGCAGGGTTCTGGTCACCATCACAGTGGAAGGGCCGCCCTCAGACACCGGCCGCGTGTCCCACAATACAACTCCACGAGGACACTCCCTGGGGACGGCATCAGATCTCACCGGTTCAGGGCCCAGTCCCACAGAACTGCCCTCCCCACCTCAGATGCCTCTCACAAGGCCCAGGGTGTTACCTGCGCCCCTGGGCAACTGGCCAGAGATGGAGGTTCCCACCCCCCACCCTTGGGTTCCATTAAGTTCTTAGAGCCGCTCACAGACCACGGACAGACGTTGTATTTACTAGATTGTCAGTTAAAGTAGAGAAATCAACAGCTAGTAGAAGAGAGACATAAGGTGAGACCCCAAACAAAGGCGCTTCTGTCCCGGTGGAGTTTGGGGTCCTAACAGTGGCACGTGGGGCACATGGGAGTCTCAGTCCCTTGAACGCCTCTGATTCTTGATTCAGGCACACCTCGTGGTCTCACAGTTTGTGAGACGGAGCCCCGCGTCGGGATCTGTGCTGACAGTGAGGAGCCTGCTTGGGATTGTCTGTCTCCCTCTCTCTCTCTCTCTCTCGGCCCCTTCCCCACCCGCAAAGTTCAACAGAAAGAAACTTAAGAAAACCTGATTCACTCTCAAGCCCCTCCCTCTCCATTCCCAGAGCGTGGGGGTGACGGGGAACTGAAAGTCCCAAGCTTCCAATCACAACATTGGTTGCCCTGGCAAGCAGCCCCCGTCCTTAAGAGGAGCCTCAAAGTCACCTCTTTGACATAGAAAAGGCCACCTTTATGGCTCTGAGGACTGAGGAGACTCCAACCATGTTTGGAGCTCGGTGCCAGAAACGGGGCTGGAGGTGAAACATGTATTTCTTCTTATAAAAAGGCCTCTTGTGAAAGGGCCACAAGAGGACAGGCCACGTGGGGACACAGGGAGAGGGTGGCCATCTGCAAGCAAAGGTCGGAGGCCTCACGATAAACCACCCCTGCCGGCATTTGATTTTGGCCTCCCCCCCCCCCCCCCCAACTGTGAGAAAATAAAGTCCTGCGCTGAAGCCCCCAGTCTGTGCATGTTCTTTGCGCAGCCCAAGCACACTGATCTCCACCCCCCCCACAATGCCAGGGGCGGCAGATGCTCCCCCCCAGCCCCCCTGCAGCACCTGTCTATGAAACAATCACAGGTACATCACTCATTGGTTAAACCTCATTCCTTTATTTCGGTGGTTCATACATTCCAGCAAGTTTGGGGGACAGAGGGGAAAGAGCAAGAAAGCCACAAGGCTATAGGTGAAAAGGACTTCAAACCGTGGTTTGCTTTCTTGGGTCAAGAGAAAGAACTTGAGAGTCAGTGCTCGCTGTAAATCAAAGCGGAGTAGAAACAAATGGATTGTCTTGAACTTGGCGTCGTCCACGCTATCTTCTCATCTCATCACCTACATTTTATCGGGGATTACTAGTGTCGTGGGACAGCGGACCTAAGGGCGGAACCAAACAGGGGAAGGAACCGGGAGTGCCGAACAGAAGCTCGGATCGCGGGCCCCAGGGGCGCGGCCGGCGGCTCAGTAGAAGCACACGGTGTGCAGGAAGGTTTTGCCGCTCTTGGCCTCGAACTCCAGCAGCACGCCGTCTATGTCGTTCTCCATATCCGCGGTGCGCTGAAGGCACTGGCACAGCTTGCAGATGAGGAACGCGCCCACAGTGGCCTCTTCCGGGTTGTCCTCGATGTCCACGTTGATCACGTGCACCGGCTGGCAGGTCACCTGCTCTCTGGAATGCATGTCTTCCACCACCTGGTCGTACACTCTCTCTTTGCATGTGATGATCAGGTCGAACTCGTCTCGGCAGCTCTGGAACCTCTCTGGCCGGGGCTTGATCCTCTTGTTTCGTTCCAACATGTGTAAAACGCCGTTCTGCGTATACAGGTGCCTGTCCTTCCTGAGCAGATCGTGGTACATCTGTTCGTAGGTGGTGCGGAAATCGTAAACGTTGGGCTTGTCGGGCACAGGGCCGGGCAGCTTCACTATTGTTCCTGTTCCGAAGGACCGCACACTGAATCCGCGTTTGCTGAGGACGCGGTGCACCTCCATGCTCCGGTTTTGGTTGCTGCAGCACACCACCGCCAGACGCAGCGGCGGGGTGGACTCAGTGGCGGCTTCGCTGCCTGCGACGCACGGGTTGAAGGACTCGCTCGAGGCCATGGGGCCAGCAAAATGGCCACTGGGACAGCAGGTAGTCGTTGCGCCGGGATCACAACGTCTTCGACGGATGTACCTGTGCGTCAGTACACGTGCACAGCAGGGTCGTGTGCACAGCGTGGGCGCGTGCATGGTGGCTCCTCCGCATTCTGCAGGCCAAGTGTCCTAGATGCTCAAAGATGATTCTCAGGGAATCATGTTCCCCAGTGTTTACGTGCCTTTGCAAAGTAACTTTGCAGTGTTTCTTCCATCAACATGTACAATTGTCTACACTTTAAGTCCGAGTTGGCCTTGATTTTGTCATCAATAAAATGTGACTGACCTGATGTGGGTGTGGGGGAGGGGTCTAAGCCTAGGGCTCTGGAAGCTCAGCGTCTTCCCTGTTTGCTCAGACTAACCTCATTCATCAACCTTCTGGAAAACAAATCTGTGGCTCCTAAACCTGTTAGCCAGTAGGCTTGTGCCCACTTATCACCTGATTCTGTGGCCGTGTCTCTCACTGTAGTTCCCTGTGTTCAGCCTTTATAAATTCTCTCCAGGGCTCCCTTACCCTGCCTTCAGTCCAGTCCCCTCAAATCCAGTCTGTTCTGCAGCCAAAGTGTTTGTCTAGAAAGTATGTCAATTCATGCTTTATTGGTGCTTCAAATCCTAGCATTGAAATAGTAGCAAGTGTGGGTGGGAGTGGTTTTGTAGGAAGTGGAGAGCCTCCTTCAGGATCTGTGTCATCAAGCACCAACATTCCTTTTTTTTGTTTTTAAATTTCATTTACACAATTCCTTTGTGTATTGTCCTCTGGTAAACTCCGATCAGACTGGATTAAGTCTCCATCCTTTAGCCTCATTTAAACTGAATTACCTCCTTAAAGGCCCCATCTCCAAATACATGCACATTGAGGTTAGGGTTTCCACATAACTTTGGGAGGGCACCATTCAGTTGATAACAGGAGACAACACATTAAGTTTGATCAATTACTTACATTATTTACCACAGCTTCTAAGCTAGTCTCATGGAGACTGAGAGTTTCCCCTTGAATTCCACCCAGTAATCACCAGTGCCTCGGTTTCCTTTCTATGCACATTTGCGGGATTTGAAACAAACCAGGAATTAAACACATTGATTCTTATATTTTTTTCTAAGGAAGCCACTCTCTTAAAAAAAAAAAGTAGTAGCCTAGTTAGGATGTCACATGCTGGAAAGGGTACCCTTGGGACCATAACCAAACGCTGAATCATCTGATCACCACTGCCTTCCGCGGACTCCTCGGTGAGCTCAGGTCCCAGGGCAACCAAGTGTCATGAACTCTAAGGACAGACAGGTGCTTCCTAGGTGAGAGAAGAGCGAGCCCTTGTTTGCCTGGGGCAGATGCCACTAGACACTGGCCCTAATGGAAACGGTGGACAACATGCAAGATCAGATGGGTATGTTCATCAGAGGGAAGAATATTGTAAGGATGAATCCGGAGAAAATGCTACAAATGGAAAACACTGGGGTGCCCAGGGGGCTGAATCGTTTAAGTGTCTGACCCTTTTTGTTTTAATATTGATTATTTTTGAGAGCGAGCAAGTGGAATCAGGAGGCAGGCTTGGAGAGAGGGGGACCGAGGATCCAAAGCGGGCTCCATGCTGACAGCAGCCAGCTCAATGTGGAACCCAAGTCTTGAATCGCGTGATCATGACCTGAGCCAAAATCAAGTGTCAGACACCTAACCGAACGAGCCACCCAGGTACCTCGATGCTGTCAGATTTCTATAGGGCCTGGCTCGGGCTCCTGGAGCATCTGTCTGGAGGAGACCTGGAAGTGGCTGGAAATGGACAGCAAGGAGATCATAGGGAGCGGGGCCTGGCTGCAGGTGCTACACTCACATCAAGCACTTTACAGTCCCGTGGGGAAGACTAATCATCAGAAAGCCGCCTGACAAGTGGAGCTCACAGGGGCTGCTGGGAACACAAAGAAGGCCCGAACCCTGGAGGCCTCCCCAAGGAGGCAGCCTTAGGAAGAGGCTGAGTCTTCACAGGCACCCAAGGGCTGGCCTGGGAGAAGGGGCCGGGAAAGAGCCGCTGAGGCTGTGACAGGTGGGCTGCTTCAGGGGTTTTCAGGTCATCCTGGGTGGCTGAGCACGGCCAGCAGGTGAAAGGTGAAGACCAGGGAGGAGGCAGGGAGACAAAGTGGTGCTACTTGTCGGGATGAGCACTGGGGGCTTTATGTAATCATAAGAATCTAGTCCCAAAGACAAGAGCACATCGTATATACTGTATACTAGCCAACGTGACAATGAATTGTGTAAAAAAAATTAAAAAATCATACAATGAGAAAAGTGGTGCTTCATCACGCAGAGCCTGAATGAGCCCCCACTTCCTTCAAAACCCCTCCCACCTGCACTTGCTACTATTTCATTGCTCCCATGGTAAGCACCCCTGGGTTGTCAAAGATATACACTGTAGACAAATCACTGTGGCTTGCAGAGCACAAAACGGATTGGAGGGGAACGGACTGAAGGCAGGGTCAGGGAGCGCTGGAGAGAAATTACAGAGGCTGAACGCACAGGGAAGTGGCCGTGGGGAGAGAGATGGCAGCAGGATCAAGAGATGAAGGGTGTACAATCCTGGTGGCTAACAAGATGAAGAGTCTCAGATTTGCTTTTTCTTAATGTGTAGGATTTTTGAGAGAGAGGCAGTGCGGGAGCAGGGGAGGGGCAGAGAGAGAGGGACACGCAGAATCCGAAGCAGGCTCCAGGCTCTGGGCTGTCAGCTCAGAGCCCGACCTAGGGCTCAACCCCACAACCCGGGAGATCATGACCTCAGCCAACGTTGGCCGCTTAACGGACTGAGCCACCCAGGCGCCCCGAGGAGCCCAGGGCAGGCATCTACACCAGTCATTCTCACTCAGACTGTTAATCACGCCTCTCAACGTTCTATCACACAGGAAGGACTGGTTATCTGGAGCTAGGATACGGCAAGGCGGTCGTTGACATTTCTCCTCCAGCAAGATCTCAGCCATAAACTCTTGAGTGGGGAATGGAGATGCAGGTACCGGGCCAGCGTTAGTAGCCTGAGAGCGTTCATGCCCAACGTCCAAGGGCCCAAAGGCTTGACTGAAATCAAACTTCAGTGAGAGGATTCACAACCTATTTTCCAAGGTGCTCAATATGTGAGAGGGTTACGAGCAGGTGAAAGGCAGTCTTTCCACAACTGTCCTGGATCATTAAAAGATATTTAATTTTATGGGGTATAAATGACATATGAGTTTCATGGGTCCAGCATGACTCCACACTTGTGCATATTAAGAAATGATCCGCACTAAGTCTCATCAGCAGCCATCACCACACACCAATCCCACTTTTTTCCCCACATGGGAACTTGTAAGGCTACTCTGTTACCAACTGTCCAATGTGCGACAGAGTCCACACGGGCTCAAACTCGCAAACTGTGACATCATGACCTGAGCCAACGTCATGGACTTAACAGATGGACGCCCTTTTTGGGGTTTTGTTTTTGTTTGTTTGTTTGTTTTTAATGTTTGGATATCTTTTTGAATTAGTGCTTTTCCCTTCTTCAGATAAACACCCCAAAGTGGAATTGCCCATCACATAGTACCTAAATCCCCTCCGAGCAAACACGGAACACAAAGCCTCTGGAGCCCTAGGCTTAGGCTCCCCCCCTCCCCCACAACCACGGTAGGTCGGTCACATTCGTTTCTCGACAACGTCCAGGCCAGCTCATACGTAAAGGCTAGAGGAATAATTCTACCTCTTGAGGGAAGGACCACTGCAGGGATACTGTGCAAAGGGGTGTGAACACTGGGAGACAGGATACTCTGGGAATCATCTTTGAGATTCTACCACAGCTACCAGGATGGGAGGCTGACAGGATGCCGGGCACGCGCCCACGCAATGCACACGGCCCCACTGTGCTCCTCATGACGCACCGCTACGTCACAGAGGTCGTCACATTGGAGGTTATGACCTCGGCGCCACGTAACCCGGGTGTCACGCGAGTCCTGACGCACCGGTACTTCCGTTGAAGACATAGTGGCCCCGGCGCCACGACTGCCTGCTGTCCCAGTGGCCGTTTCGCTGGCACCGCGGCCCCATGGCTTCGAGCGAGTCCTTCAACCCGTGCGTCGCAGGCAGCGAAGCCGCCACTGAGTCCACCCCGCCGCTGCGTCTGGCGGTGGTGTGCTGCAGCAACCAAAACCGGAGCATGGAGGTGCACCGCGTCCTCAGCAAACGCGGATTCAGTGTGCGGTCCTTCGGAACGGGAACCATCGTGAAGCTGCCCGGCCCTGTGCCCGACAAGCCCAACGTTTACGATTTCCGCACCACCTACGATCAGATGTACCACGATCTGCTCAGGAAGGACAGGCACCTGTATACGCAGAACGGCGTTTTACACATGTTGGAACGAAACAAGAGGATCAAGCCCCGGCCGGAGAGGTTCCAGAGCTGCCGAGACGAGTTCGACCTGATCATCACGTGCGAAGAGAGAGTGTACGACCAGGTGGTGGAAGACATGCATTCCAGAGAGCAGGTGACCTGCCAGCCGGTGCACGTGATCAACGTGGACATCGAGGACAACCCGGAAGAGGCCACTGTGGGCGCGTTCCTCATCTGCAAGCTGTGCCAGTGCCTTCAGCGCACCGCGGATATGGAGAACGACATAGACGGCGTGCTGCTGGAGTTCGAGGCCAAGAGCGGCAAAACCTTCCTGCACACCGTGTGCTTCTACTGAGCCGCCGGCCGCGCCCCTAGGGCCTGCGATCCGAGCTTCTGTTCGGCACTCCCGGTTCCTTCCCCTGTTTGGTTCCGCCCTTAGGTCCGCTGTCCCACGACACTAGTAATCCCCGATAAAATGTAGGTGATGAGATGAGAAGATAGCGTGGACGACGCCAAGTTCAAGACAATCCATTTGTTTCTACTCCGCTTTGATTTACAGCGAGCACTGACTCTCAAGTTCTTTCTCTTGACCCAAGAAAGCAAACCACGGTTTGAAGTCCTTTTCACCTATAGCCTTGTGGCTTTCTTGCTCTTTCCCCTCTGTCCCCCAAACTTGCTGGAATGTATGAACCACCGAAATAAAGGAATGAGGTTTAACCAATGAGTGATGTACCTGTGATTGTTTCATAGACAGGTGCTGCAGGGGGGCTGGGGGGGAGCATCTGCCGCCCCTGGCATTGTGGGGGGGGTGGAGATCAGTGTGCTTGGGCTGCGCAAAGAACATGCACAGACTGGGGGCTTCAGCGCAGGACTTTATTTTCTCACAGTTGGGGGGGGGGGGGGGGAGGCCAAAATCAAATGCCGGCAGGGGTGGTTTATCGTGAGGCCTCCGACCTTTGCTTGCAGATGGCCACCCTCTCCCTGTGTCCCCACGTGGCCTGTCCTCTTGTGGCCCTTTCACAAGAGGCCTTTTTATAAGAAGAAATACATGTTTCACCTCCAGCCCCGTTTCTGGCACCGAGCTCCAAACATGGTTGGAGTCTCCTCAGTCCTCAGAGCCATAAAGGTGGCCTTTTCTATGTCAAAGAGGTGACTTTGAGGCTCCTCTTAAGGACGGGGGCTGCTTGCCAGGGCAACCAATGTTGTGATTGGAAGCTTGGGACTTTCAGTTCCCCGTCACCCCCACGCTCTGGGAATGGAGAGGGAGGGGCTTGAGAGTGAATCAGGTTTTCTTAAGTTTCTTTCTGTTGAACTTTGCGGGTGGGGAAGGGGCCGAGAGAGAGAGAGAGAGAGGGAGACAGACAATCCCAAGCAGGCTCCTCACTGTCAGCACAGATCCCGACGCGGGGCTCCGTCTCACAAACTGTGAGACCACGAGGTGTGCCTGAATCAAGAATCAGAGGCGTTCAAGGGACTGAGACTCCCATGTGCCCCACGTGCCACTGTTAGGACCCCAAACTCCACCGGGACAGAAGCGCCTTTGTTTGGGGTCTCACCTTATGTCTCTCTTCTACTAGCTGTTGATTTCTCTACTTTAACTGACAATCTAGTAAATACAACGTCTGTCCGTGGTCTGTGAGCGGCTCTAAGAACTTAATGGAACCCAAGGGTGGGGGGTGGGAACCTCCATCTCTGGCCAGTTGCCCAGGGGCGCAGGTAACACCCTGGGCCTTGTGAGAGGCATCTGAGGTGGGGAGGGCAGTTCTGTGGGACTGGGCCCTGAACCGGTGAGATCTGATGCCGTCCCCAGGGAGTGTCCTCGTGGAGTTGTATTGTGGGACACGCGGCCGGTGTCTGAGGGCGGCCCTTCCACTGTGATGGTGACCAGAACCCTGCCGTCTGTGCTCAGCCCTCCTTTGTGTCTTGTCGTCTTTTATGAACCCCAGTCAGATCGGGTTAAGTGTCCATTCTTGTCTCATTTAAATTGAATTACCTCCTTGGCCGGGAGGCAAGATGGCGGAGAAGTAAGGAGCTCTGTACATTTTACATTTCGCCTGCACCCATCTCTCAAACAGAGAAGGCCTGAAGCCACAGGACACTGAGCCACAGGAGTTTGGAAGAAAGAGACAGAGGACACTGGGAAGGCAACCTCATAAGTGCGTGAGTGCGAACTGGGGAAGATAAAAGCGGGACGGGAGGCAGAGATACTGAGGGCGGGGAGGGAACACGGCTTGCGAGCAGCTGCGGTGACTGATAAACCGGCGAGTGGTGGCGAGCTGCCGCGAGTCCAGGGGAAAGGAAAGAAAGGCTGAGATTGCTCATAGTACCGTCCCTGGAGAAGAGAAAAAAACCTCAGCTTGGAAAGACAGTGTTTTCTACCTCTGGCTGGGGTGCTGACTTTAAACTAGGTGCCCAGGTCCCAGAAGGCGCCAGGAAACACTGAACTGCCGTGCACCCGGCACCATCCATGGCGGCAGCGGCCTGGTGAACCGGCTGCAACGCCTGCGGAGGCGGTCCCGGTGCCGGGTGAAGCGGCACTGGCACCGGGTGAAGTGGCGGCGGCGACCCGGTGAAGCGGAACTGGCGCCGGGTGAAGCGGCGGCGGCGGCGACCCGGTAAGGCGGTCGTGGCGCCGGGTGAAGCGGCGGCGGCGGCGACCCGGTGAAGCGGAACTGGCGCTGGGTGAAGTGGCCGCCGCGCGCGCGACAGCGGCCCGCTGAAGCGGCGGCGGCGACCCAGTAAAGCGGTACTGGTGCCCCGTGCAGGGGCGGCGCACGCGACAGCAGCCCGCTGAAGCGGCGGCGGCGACCCGGTGAAGGGGTCCCGGCGCTGGGTGAAGCGGTAGCCGCGAGCGGGACAGCGGCCCGCTGAAGCGGTGACGGCGACCCGGTGAAGCGGTCCTTGCGCCCCGTGAAGGGGCGGCGCACGCGACAGCGGACCGCTGAAGCGGCGGCGACCCGGTAAAGTGGTCCCGGCGCTTGGTGGAGCGGCAGTGGCGACCCGGTGAAGGGGTCCCGGCGCTGGGTGAAGCGGCGGGCGCGCGCGCGACAGCGGCCTGCTGAAGCGGCGGCGGCGACCCGGTAAAGCGGTACTGGTGCCCCGTGCAGGGGCGGCGCACGCGACAGCAGCCCGCTGAAGCGGCGGCGGCGACCCGGTGAAGGGGTCCTTGCGCCCCGTGAAGGGGCGGCACACGCGACAGCGGCCCGCTGAAGCGGCGGCGGCGACCCGGTAAATCGGTCCCGGCGCCCGGTGAAGGGGCGGCGGCCGCGATACAGCGGCCCACTGAAGCGGCAACGACCGGAAAAACGGTGCCCGCGCCCTGTAAAGCAGCAGTGGCGCGCAACAGTGGGACTCACTACATCCACGCGGACTCGACAGACCAGAAGTTGCTACATTCCCTGAACGCACTCGGGTTGTATCCCTGCTTGACCGGCGGCGGATCCGAGGATGAGACACTTCCCCCCCCCACCCCCTTTCAACCCGCTGGCAACAGGGCAGCAGCGACCTGTGGGACTGTTCAGGGCGGTATAACAAAGCCCGTGGCCTGGGACCTGGAAACAGGCGGGGTGTGGAGCATAGAGCTCAGCCCTCCTTGGCTACAGCCTCAGCACAGGGAGATTAGACCGAAGAAGTGATTTGCAACGCTTGGTTGAGAAGGGACTGGGGCGACGCTATTCTTCTCCCCACAACCACCAAGGAGGGGCCTCAGGGAGGCCAGCGGAGACAGTGGAGACAAGACCTGCCTACACCAAACCATGCCCATCCCCTCCAGATAGCTGTTTCCTTGCTGCTGTAGCTGTTTTTACCTGAGCCTCGGTTTGCGCGTTCATTGGTCTTGTCTGTGCATTTGTGTACCTGTGTTCCCTCTGTGGTTGTCTGTTTTCTTTTTCCAGGGCTGGCTCAAGAAACAAGCCAAACTACACATGGTGGAGAGTCCCAAATACCACTACCAGTAGGGAAACAAAATAACCAAAGGCTCAACAAGAGAAACCAAGAGACACCATCCAAAGAACACTTCCTGAACAGACAGGCCCTGAACAGTCAAAAGAGCCCTCTCTAATGCAGCAGAACTCACAGGGGCCGTGTGTACAACAAGCTTTTAAAATTAACAAGAGATAGAAAGCTAACCAAAATGATGAAATGGAAGAACTCTCCTCCAAAGAAACTCCAGGAAGAAATGACAGCTAGAGAACTGCTCAAAACAGATATAAGCAACATAACTGAACAAGAATTTAGAACAATAATCATAAAATTAATCGCCGGGCTTGAAAAAAGCATGGAGGACATCAGAGAAACTATGGCTACAAACAATATGGAGCTTAAAAATAGTTATGGTGAATTAAAAAATGGGATAAATGAGATACATAATAAACGGGAGGCTTCCAATGCACGGATTAAAGAGGCAGAAAGGAGAATTAGTGATTTAGAAGACACTATTATAGAAAAAGAAGAAACTGAGAAAAAGAGAGATAAACTAATCCAGGAACATGAAAGAAGAGTTCGAGAGG